TTTTAGAATGTGCTGAACAGCTGTCCTCGGTGTGCAGTTACTATTGCCTGCAGCAGGTAGTAGCCTAGAGGGATCCATCCTTCCACCACTAGTAATTTAACATTTTCTCCACTTGTAGGGCTAGTTTTACTATACTTTTTAGCTGTTGAGAAAGATCTGGGCTACTTGACACAATATGCAGCAAACTACTTGGGATAACAGTTCAACAAGGGAGTTGAGGGTTCCAGTATTTGTGTGGTTTGAATTTTTTTCTTTGGTTGCACTGTAGTTCTTCTCGGTTTTTATATATATTTCACAAACATAGAAGAACAGTCAGTGGCAAGAGCTCTAGGTTAGTTGTTTCACCAGAAGTCTAGGTTTCTGTGTGAAAGAAAAATTATTGCATAAATGAGCATTCAGCTACATGAATAACAACAACAGGTACTCGGGGCAGGCTTACATTCATTCAAATATTTATTTACAGTATTTATATTCCGTCCTTCTTGTCCCGCAAGGGGACTCGGGGAGGATTACAATGCACATATACATGGCAAACAGTCAATGCCATTTAGACATACAACATATATAGACAGACACAGAGGCATTTAACATTCTAACTTTTCCTGCTTCATGAGGGTATCCTCGATTTTGGCCACGGAGAATTGCCGCTTCACCGTCCACTTGTGACACCGATGGAGTCCTTCCTCATTCTTTTGCATGCTGCTGGAGATTTTTATGGTGCCATAAATTAGTTAAATTAGCCTCCCTGCATAAAGAGATATATAAATTTCCTACTTGACAGATACAACTGTCATTCGGGCTGCAAACGTTGACAGCAAGCTAGAAAAATGTTTGGGAGCTTACCCTGACCTGAGCTGGCTTTGAACTCTTGACCTTTCGGTCAGTAGTGATTTTAATGCAGCTGACATGGGGATGAGTCCGGGCAAACATAGATTTAAAACACAAAAAAATAAAATAAACACATCATAATAACATAACACATCATCATAAAACAATCAATAGCCTGAACAGTAATAAATACTGGACTCGGAGGGCTAGGAGCTTGTGCAATAGTTTCAGGACAGGGGCTGCTGGAAAAGTGCAAGAGTTCTTTTAATGTCTGAAGTTTGATGGTCCTGAAACTAAAATAAAGCGAGACCATGGACCAATTCTGTATCAATGTATACAAGCAAAACTCTGGTAATAATATTTTCAGATGTTTTGATATTCACATTCAGCAGCATGCTAAACAACTATGTCCTGGGAAAACTCAGGCATTGATTTTTCCCTAATATTTTCATAATTAATTATCTTGAAGGCTCATCAACACTGAGTGGGCATTTTAGCCCATTGTAAAGCTGCCTCAGAGCAACCTCAGATTTACACGTGTGCCGAATCTGGAGCTATTGTTTAGGTGTGAACCTGTCTTGCTGAGGTGGCCAGCAGCTCTTCTCCATATTGCTATCTCTTCCCAGTCATGGCATCTCTGCCTGATGTCAGAGGAGTACCAATGTGACTTTGATCAGTTCAGGGAAGGAGTGATGACACCAGTGCCCATCTGGATAGCAGATGGAATCTGACCTACTTCTTAAACTTTTCCCACTTGGAACCACTTTCTGCTAAGAAATATTTATGTGACCCCAGGTATATCGGTGTTAAAGAGATATTAAAACCAAACATTTATTGATTATAAACCAGCATTTGCACGGCTTGCTAAGCAGGCTGATTTTCATTTTTGTGGAGTGCAACTACAGTATAAACACTGCTAACAGATTTCTGTATAGGCGTGGTGTTCAGAAACCTTTTTCAGGACTCCAACATTGAGCTAAAGGGGACTCTATTAGGGGTCGGAACTCACAGTTTAAGAAACAGTGGTCTAGACTGCCCTGAATCTATAGAATACTCTGTGGCGTTTCCAACAAACTCCAGAGTATCCCCCATCTTTGCCCAAAGCAAGGCAAAGTTGATTTAAAGCACAAAGCAAAGCAAAATAAAAACCTCGGTGTTACCAGAAGCCACTGTGCATCATGGGGATATCTTGTGATCCGTTTGGAGTGAGTCTTTTTGTTTTTACCCCTGTTGACAAGACCTTAGACAATATCAACTCATTATTTCAAGAGTGATATTTAGAACCAAAAATAAATACACATGAGAACTAGAGGTTAACTTTGATGCGATATCAGGCTGACACTGGGCAGGTTTTTGGATGCAGAGGACATTATTAAAGCACATCTCATTTACATACAAACTGGTGGGAGGCATCTGAAATAGCTCTTTAAATTGGGATAGTGTTCATTTCCATCCTGCTAGGTATGAGCCAGTTATTGTGAATTATGTATTTATTACTTCCTTATCCAACAGTCTTTGCCAGAAGGACTTTCACCTTTGCTAGTAAATGTGTCTGGGCGTTTAAAAGGTTCAGTATTTGCCCGGAGGCTTTAAAAACTGTGTAGTAAAAGGAAGTGTAATGTTTTTCTTTAAGACACCGAGCTGTTCTGTAATATTGAACAGGGTAGCTTGATTTATTTTCTTGCCAGGCTGTTTACATACTGCTGGTAGCATATTGAACTGGCATTCATTTGTCTTTGAACAGAACGTGGTGAATGAAATTCAGAGGGAGATTCATTAATAAAAAACCAGTAGACATTAACTAAAGAGAATGTATAGTGGATTTGCAGTAAGTCCTTTTTCTGTGGAAATTTGTAGAACATATCTTAGACACCATCAGAATGAATTGCAGAACGAAGAAATGCAGTCTTGCGTTTTGAGTGGCCAGGAACTCCAAAGCTTGTTACTCTCTGTTTCTTCCTATATTTACTTGTGACAAACAATTCTATTCTCTCATTGTTTGCTTTGAATATCTGAACAATCACATTAACCTTAGGGCTTCAGGAAACGGAAAAGTCAGACTACCTGGGAATTTCCAAAGGCTTATTCCCTCTTCATACATAAATTTTAGGGTGTGGAAATCTAGAACTTCTCTGTAATTCTTTATCTGAAGGAAGTCTTTCATAACACTTCATTTGAGGCAGTCATCTGTTGTCATTATTCTTCAGTAACCCTGAATTCTTCACTTCAGGGACTACAATTTGGTCTCTTATAGCTTATGGTACAAAATCTTTGTCTTGCTTCTACTCCGTGAATGTACCTAATTTCCTCGGGTTCTGTTCTGTGTACCATTGGAAGGCAGTATTGCGACCACAAGAGACAGGGCATTCTTAGTAATACATGTTGAACATCGTGTATCCCAAATCCCCCAAAGTATAGGCAGTTCCCAAGTTATGAGCAAGATACGTTCTTTAGGGTTGTTCCTTAAGTTGAATTTTGTATGTAAGTCAGAACAGGCACATTTTGAAGTGTAATTTGAGCCATATATACACACACACACACACACACTTTGGATATCATAGGAAAGGATTAACACCCCTGTGGCATTTGTTTTCCTGTTTGTGCCTCTGTTCAGAGTAGTTCACTTCACTTTCTGTCTCTGTGATAGTTGGATTTTTAAAAATTTGGCTTCTTGTGGAAACAAGGAGTGGTGATAAAGCTTCAGTGTAGACATCTTTTCCCCATGCTAACCATCTCACTAGTAAATTTGCCCTCCGTGGGGGAGATTTCTCTCACTTGCTGTTGTATCACCATTGTTCTTAACTATGAGTCATTTGTAAATTGGCTGTTTGTAACTTGGGGACTGCCTATATTCCAAATGGTGGCTGAGATAGTGACACCTTTGTTTTCTAATAGTCCATCGTACACAGACATTGCTTCATGAGTTAAGTTATTAACCATATTGCCTAAAATTACCTTCAGGCTATATGTGTAAGGTGTATATGAAACACAAATGAATTTCGTGTTTAGACTTGGAGTCCCACCTCATGCACAAAATTATTAACCATATTGTTTAAAATTACCTTCAGGCTATGTGTATAAGGTGTATATGAAACATAAATGAATGTCATGTTAAGACTTGGAGTCTCATCACCAAGACATCTCATGCTGTACATATATACAAATACGGGTATTTCCAAATCCGAAAAAATCCAAAACTTCTGATCCCAAGCATTTTGTACAAGGGATGCTAAACATGTATTGTCAAACTTTAGAGCTTTCATCCAAAGGAAACTGTTAGACTTCTTTGGTTACAACTGTCATTTTTTAAAGTAAACATTTTGTTGTCATTGGAGTAATAGAGGAATAAGTCAGTTTTCACTTTTTAAAAATTTCCTTTTGGTTCATCAGTTTTGTTTTGTTTTTTGTCTTTGTAATGCTCTTTGTTGTCCTGTGACTTTCTTTAATGCTTTGTATACTTTTTCGTCTGTACTGCAGTACACATTGGTGGCGTGCATTTTGTGGCCACCACGGTTTTGAGTTGGCTTGAAATGGTCAGTGTAGATGAACCCAGAGAGTGTGTGATGCCAGGCCTTGTGTCAGCAGTACTAGCTTTGTGCTTACCCACCAGTGTTTGCCCAAACTTTTATGTCAGTTCAGTAAACAGGGCCTCTTGCACTTGAGGAGGAAATGGTCCCATCCACCTTTCACTCTCCTTTCAAAGTGAGAAAGGTTCTTGATAATCGAGAGGTGAAGTAAAATGGGCACTTCCCTTGTGTGGCTTTTGGATATATTTTTATAAGGTGTCAAAAGACAGTTCTCAGTTTCAAAGAGGAAATGGTGCTTATTATGTGTTCCATCATATTTTCAGTTTGCTAGTGGGGTTTTTGTGTATATATGTGTTTTCAAAACTGTAAACTCCATCTGACCAAAGGAAACATGTATACCAAAGAAAGAAAGCTTCCCACAAATGTTTTCTGCTGTCTTACAAACTCTATTTTCTATCTAGAGCCTTATCTGCAGGAGAGCATTCTGTACATCCATAGGTCGTCTCTCTGAAGGCTTAAAAAGTTTGGGGAGGGGGGATGACTATCTTGTAGCAAATATTTTAGCATTTCATTGATTTTCCCACAAGAAAAACTAATTGTATGGGGGTTTAGTCTAATAGTTCTCCCTTGTTTCTTACTTTGCAGGACTCGAGTAAAACTAGAGAGCCTTGAAGATGCATACATTTTGAGAGGAAATGATGACTCCCTTTCCGATAAGCATGGATGCCCAGCATACGTGAGCCCAGAGATCTTGAATACAAACGGCAGCTACTCTGGCAAGGCAGCAGACGTTTGGAGTCTAGGAGTCATGCTTTACACAATGCTCGTCGGACGCTACCCTTTCCATGACATTGAGCCTAGTTCCCTCTTCAGCAAAATCCGCCGAGGGCAGTTCAGCATTCCAGAGACTTTATCCCCAAAGGCAAAATGCCTTATACGTAGCATCCTGCGCCGGGAGCCCTCGGAGAGGCTGACTTCGCAGGAAATTCTGGACCATCCTTGGTTTTCCACAGATTTTAATGTGTCGAATTCAGGATATGGTGCTAAGGAAGTAACGGATCAGCTGGTGCCTGACGTCAACATGGAGGAGGAAGAGGACCCTTTCTTTAACTGAGCATTAGGACTAGTGTTTGAGTGGCGCGTGGTCCAGAAAAGACAACGTTGAAGGGAGTCCTTTCTGACCATGCAGAATTATAGTGGTGTCTTGACCTGGCTTGAAAGCAAAAAGACAACTTGAAGGAGTGGCTGTTTTGTGGGTTGTTTTGCTCTTTTGTTTCAGTTTTTGGTTGGAGAAGGAATGAGCTAACACAACAAATGTAGCATGAGGATGACTAGATGGGACGAATCCTTGCTATCAGGTTAGATTGACATGGAAATAGAAAGAGGCAGCAGCATGGAGCAACAGTAGCTGCTCATCTTTATGGAGCCAAGGACACTGAACCTTCACGTTCCAGTGCAGCCACTAATCCACTCCCAATTCTGTTTCATTCAGATACTTAATGGTTCCAAGTAAATAGAGACTTTTGCCTCAATTTGCATCTTGGCATCGCACTGTTAGATATATTTAACTTCAGCCATTATTCAGGGAAGGTACAATTAGCTATCATGTTGTTATATTAATTTTTGTTTCCTGTTTCTAAAATCTGACGTTTAATAATTTCAGTGGGATTAATCTTCAGGAGGGCGGGTGGGAAGAGCACAAAGGGAAGACATGGGAAGCTGGGTGCTAAGTGGAAAACTTTATTTCATGTCTCGGAACAGCTAGTTTTGAATTCAGTTCTAAAGAAGCGGCTTTGATTTTTGAGAGGAGAAAACGGTGTTTGAAATGCTCTTTTCCCTTAAGGCAGAAAGGGACTGGCACTTCACAAGTTGGGTAGTATATATTTTTGTCCCCCTTTGCTGATGGAAGAACACTTACTTTTGGGTTAAATACAGTTATCTCCCTCAGCTGATGGAAGGCTCTTTAATGCAGCAGACACAAGATGCTGAATAGTGGATGGAGATTCCTTCTCCAACTTCCATCTTCAAAGGGTGGATGACTCTTTGGAGCAGTATGGAAGGTCAATGGCATCATAAGGGGCTTCAGAGAAAATACAGAATCTATGAGCCTCCTCTTCATGGGAATCCCCTGCTATGATGTAGAGTCTTTCATCAGCAGAACACAGTTGGATACGACCCATTCTGGAAGAGTCTTGCAGTTTTGGTCAATGGCTTTGTTGCAGGAGGCAATTACAGGTCAGCCTTCCAGATATGTTTGCTAAGCAAATCATAATTCTTGAAAGAAATAAAACAGGTGATTTGAAATACTGGCTTCCATGTTACCACACTGCACATAAAATTTGACCATATTTGTGGACAGCAGTGAGAGGACATCATTTCAGAGAGAGAGAGAGAGGATTGAAACCTAATCCAGGAACCAACGATTCCTCAAGACTACCTTAAACATGAGCGGAGTGGGTCTTTATTACTTAAAGAGGAGAGAGAGAGAGAGAAAGACAGACAGAGGTGTTTTCCTTTCTTCCCTCTTAGTTTTATGGAAAGGCAGTGACTTGGGTTTTCTTGCTTTTGTTTTTGTTTTATGAAAAGGATGCTGTTAGTTTTCTTCTCATTGACATTTTAATAAGCTGAACATTACTAGGACACAGATCTGTCTCCTAAAAAGTACACAGTAATATGCACCTTTCGTATTGTCAAGACTTTATTTATTGATGAAACTGTCACGGTTGTGATGAATTAAGCCAGTACTTCAATTACGGGTTGACTTGGGGTGACATGTTACAAGCTGTAGTTGACACGCTTTCCTTTTACTTTTCAGGTATTCCTTGTCCCTGAATGACATATTTTTTACTTTTAATTTTTCGCCCTGTTCTCTCCCTTCCTTAGAGAGCTTTTGTTTTGATTTCGACTGGCAAAATGATTTTTTATTACTGCTTTTTATATTGCTATATGATACTTGGGGCGGGGGGACAAAACAAAACAGGTCTCTTGGCATAACTATTTGTGTTTTCCAGTACCTCAGTTGTTCTGATGTTACTGCCTGTATGCGTTTTTGTGAAGTGGTCATGTTTTTGGATAGGTACATGTGGACTCTGTAGTATGTAAATGTTACTTGAATTTTGTGCTTAATTATAGTATGTGGCATGTGCGTACAGCTACTTGGCATTTGATGTATGGATGCTATTTTGCCTGCCCTGCAGGAAGGTTTTGATCCCACTCTCAAGCGGATGGTTCATAGTTCCTTATCAAAGAGACAAAGCTGCAGCTGACCTGCCTTGGTTCTATTTTGGTATCTAAGAAAATATAAAGGAGTAATGTTTTTACACTCTGAAGATGGTGCTGTGTTGAGGGACTTCTTTTTTTAAAAATGTTTATTTTATAAACTTGTAGGAAGAAAGATTGGTGATGTGCATGGTGGGATTTTACTGCCTCTGGTGCTTTGTCTTGTATTTGGTTTAATGTTTTTGTCCTAATCTCTTCAATAAACAAAATTGTGCATATTTAACTAAATTCAGCTTGTAATGCCTTGTTTTTTTTACCACGTGCATCATTCTCATGATATGTGGTAACATTGCCCTTTACTTGTTTACAGCATAAAAAGATATATTGGAAATAATGAGCTAATTCTTATTTAATTATTTACAGTATTTATATTCCACCCTTCTCACCCCACAAAGGGACTCAGTGTGGATTACAGTGCACATATACATGGCAAACATTCAATGCAATTAGACATACAACATATAGAGACATACACAGAGGCATTTAACATTCCAGCTTCATGAGGGTATGCTTGATTTCATCCACAGGTGAGGGGGGGGGGGCTGCAGCTTCACTGTCCACTTGTGACACCGAGTTCTTGATCGAGTACCTCATTCTTACGCACACTGCTGAAAGGTTTTATGGTGTCGTAAATTAGTTAAATTAGCCTCCCCACATAAAGCGGTACCTAAATTTCCTACTTGACAGATGCAACTGTCTTTCGGGTTGCATAGGTTAACAGCGAGCTAGACTATTAATGGTCAAGAGCTCATTCCAACCCGGGCTGACTTCAAACTCATGACCTCTTGGTCAGTCGTGATTTAATGCAGCTGTCTCTAACTAGCTGCACCACAGCCTGGTCCTAGCTGGTATGCATAACTGGTATGCATAGAATTGCAGCTTCAATTAGCTTTTTCTTTAGTAGAAGAGAAGCAGAGCTGTCATCTTACTGTCTATGTTACCATCTCCATTGTCAGGTGGCTGCAAAACTATAAAAACTGGCTATTGCTAGCACCCTATGCCTGATCTTTTCCATTCACTGATGAGCGATGTGGCAGTGGCTCTTGTATACAGTGGACCAATCCGAATCTGACTCGATTCTGTTGTCCACACTGCACTAAAGCTGTGGGGTTGTTTCAGAGTTTCAAGCAAATCCTGAGCCTCCTCCAACTTTTCTTAATGTGGAACTAAAATTGTCCCTGCATTAAGAAAGGGAAGGAATGTCATGAAGACTGCTAGTATCCAATGCACTGTGAGCACAGGTTATTAACCCCATGTAGACAAACTCTTTATGGAGTTTGTTGAAAGGGCTGATAACAATTATGCCCAATATCTGCCTGCCTACATTACTTAAGAAAGAGCATGTCCCTTAAAGATATATACTCTGTGTACTTTTATAACACACAAGCATGCCACCATCTCTGTGATTCCTCCTTTGTGGGCTTTTGGTTCAATTTCACTAGATTTATTTATTTACTACATTTATATCCCGTCCTTCTCATCCCAAAGGGGATCCAGAGAAGCCTGACAGGCAGCAATTTGATACCTTTCACAAACAGACAATAAAATAAACAAATACTTTAAAAATGAAAAAAGTTAAAACATGCATTAAAACAATTTTTCAAATCACACCATCCAAACTTGTAAACCAAGGCAGTTCCATATTGTCATATCACTATTCCGTATTCTTGTATTGCACTAAGCTTTTATCCAAAGGCGTGGTCCCATAAACCATGTTTTTACGTGCTTTCTGAAGGTCAGGAGGGAGGGGACTACTCTAATTTTGTTGGGGAGGTAGATCCACAGGCAAGGGGTCATCACTGAGAAGATCCTGTCTCTCATTCCTACCAGTCGCGCCTGTGAAGGAGGCGAGAGTAGGGCATCCCCAGGCAATCTTACAGTTTCGTATTGGTCCTCAGAAAAGCAGTAAGAAAAGGTTTCATTAATGTGCAAACTTGGAGAGACATTTATTTTAAATGCGTTCAGAGCTTAAATCAATTTAAGCACTTTCCAATTACATACTCCTACCAGAAATGTGCGTTATTTTCAGAACTGATTAAAAAAATAAAGCACAGCTTCAGTGAGATGATTTGAATCTTCCAGCTTCCCAAATTCCTCTTCCTTCAGTCCACCTTCTTTGCAGCCTGTGTGAGCAGCTTCTGTTCTGTTTGGGTGGAAATAGTTAGAACTGTGCATGTTTCCTTTGCACTGCCAATAATTATATAAAAACGTTGATGACTAATGGTTGCTCATTTGCAGCGAATTATATTAAACACTGTGGCCTGCTTCGTGCTGGTATGAAGAAAACCACTTAGATGAAAGGAGCCAATTTCCTAATAGGAGGCCAAGAGGCCGGTTATAAATGCCTTCTGCTAACCTGCCCTGAACTTTCCCTGCTACACATGCACCAAGGGTGACTGGACTGTTAAGATTTTTTTTGAATAGCTAGATTATAGATCTTCAAACATTTGAGGACTTTCTCACACGTAGGTCTAGTATGACAGTAGTGTTGGATGATCCTAAATTTCCTCCAGCATTGTGTCAAAAATGTTTGCATGTAATTCAGCTCTGTCATCATCCGCCCCAATCCCTGGAATAGTGAATGGAAATGAGTTTTGACATCTAGAGACATGTATTGTTTTGCTTCCCAAGCTGTAATCAAATGGAGGCGGCTACCAGGATTCAGTTTGATCAGCAGTGTTTCAAAATGAAAATTGTGAAGTCTTGGCTCTGCCTTTTCCTTTCCTCTGCTTTACTTCCCCCTGTTTATAGGCCATCCCAATAGTGTAGAGACCTTCCTTTGTATTAGTTTTGGGTGGAGCTTAAAATCCCCCCACAGGCCAGTTTTAGTCGGCTTATTCCATTTCCCTGTATAGAGCTCTCTTGTTGGACCCCTCCCTTTACTACAGCCATTAGAGGCTTGGGGCACTGACTGGTGATCCTAGGCCAAGCAATCCAAAACAGGCATTCTTAGCACCTGCGTTTAGCAGTATTTTTATACCAGCAGTCCAAAGAACAACGGAAGCTTTTGGCCAGCCTAAGCTTCACAGGAATGAAGATTAAGACAATTTATAAGCAAACAATCTATCACTTTGCATCAGAGGCAGAAGATTCCAGATAGATGACTACAATAATCAAAATCTCATTTTGTAATGTATTGTTTTAAGTTATCTTATGATAGTCCTTGTTGGAGTTAACCCTTTATTCACCCTGTTTTCAGTAAACTCATTTGGTTATCTTTTCACCTTGCCTAAAGTGTCTTTGTGCAAAAGGGTCTTAATCTTAACAGAAGGTATCAGATAGCCTCTGAGTAAAGCCAGACAATATAGTTTTTCCAAAGGCGCGGGCGTGCCATAATAAAAATTAAACTATTGCTGGCTCTCAACATTTATATGTTTCACTTTTGTGAATTTGATTATTTGCAGATTTGATTAATATAGTCTTTTGAGGAATCTCTAGGTCCTCCAATGTGACACTATGGCCACTTCCTGCAGAAGGTGAGAACAGATTTTCACTGGAGATTTCTAGAGAGATGTCTCAGAAAAAAATAAATAGTGTTGGGTTGTTTTAATTCACATTTTTCCACTTTCACAGAGGTCTTGCACACCTAACCCCAGCGAATGTCAAGGGCTGACTATTTCACAAGTTCCAACCATCGCCATTGGAAACAAAAAGCCAGAAGACCTTATTGTGCTCTGAATCCTAAGGAAGGCATGGTCATTAGAAAAATGTGCAGCAGAGTGGGGCATACCCCATGTTCTTTCGCATCTGTCTTATTGGCCTCTTCTTACAGCCAGTGGATAACTGGTGGAAACAATCTGCAACTACAAAAACCATACTTTGGAGCATAGACCTGAATTGAGGGACATAAGCATGACGCCCATGTTGCTAGGGTATTGAGAGGAGGCCTCCAACATCTATAAAACGTCAAGTGAAGGGAGTTACGCTACCAGGGAAAAAAACAGTATCATTCTGTGTGCTCCTTATTGTGGGGACTTGAAAGGTAGGTAAATGATACATTCCACTATGGTAGTTGTCCAGTCCTGCCCTATCACTCAAAGTAATTGAACAGACATCCTGCCCCGCTTCACCCATTTTCTCCTATTCCTTCAAGGTAAGCCTTGCGCTCGCTACAACTTTTATGTTTGCTGGCACACTGCTTGGTGTCATGTACTAACCACACTGCCCATATTCCAAGCTCATCTGCTTCACTTTGCACTGCAGTGACTGAAGAGCGATTGCTGCAGGACATGACAATGAAAAAAAAGTCTCATGGTGCTGAGACTGTTGGATTTTAGTGGAAAGTGCTTCTGCACAGAAGTTTAATGCCAGATTATCCATGATCATTTGTATGGAATTTTAGTAATAGCAGCACTTTTGCACTAGCTTACTATTATCATTGTATTAGCAGTGTAGTCTTTCGTTTAGATCTTCCCTAGTGCATAATTCTGCTAATTTGTCTAAAGCAGGATTAGAATTAGTTAGCCTCTGGTGCTTGCAACTTTCAACAGCCCTAGCTAAGCCAATGGTAAGAAGTGCTGGGAGTTACACTCCAATTACATCTTTATGGCTCAGATATGGAATGAGGTAATGGTCTAATATAAAGAGCTGTCTGAATTTCTGATATAATGGATGTCAGGGCTGGGCAGCTGAACTATGTAGACATTGAAGTACAGTTTCCATTATTTTTAGCCACTGCAACCAGTGGTTAGAATGATGGAAATTGCAGCTCAGCATTTACTAGACCAGTTACTTATACTAAAGTGAGCAAAAAGCTTTGAGCACTCACAAACAGCACCCATGAACAACAAACAGAAACTACTGCCTGCCATAAACATCTGAGAAACAGGGTAAAGTTCACATCTCAGTGGTATAACAAAGCAGTGACCCAATGAGACAGAATTATGCAATTCCTGCTATAGGGATCAGGGAAGGAAGAAAGTGACAATAAGTCAATACAATGTGATAACAGCGCTCCATGAAGTCATGCCAGCCACATGACCTTGGAGGTGTCTATGGACAACTTAATGTCAGGGAAAACCTTTACCTTTGCCTACACAGTAGATACACAGAACAGCAGATAATAGTGAACACTATAGAAATGAAGAACACCTGGAGCAAGAATACTATAGAATTGGAGGACCTAAAATGCCTAGACAAAACATATTTTACTAGCTGTGGATAAATGAAACCATGTGTTCCAGTCCATAGGATTCATCTATGCTGTAGAATTAATGCTGTTTAACATA